ATCTGCTCCATTAGCTGAGTTAGTGGTATATGGGGTACCGTTAAATAAGAAAAAAATAAATAATTACCACTGCTTGTACAGGATCTTTACCGACATTTTTCACTTCACAAAGACATTGGAAGACAGCTCTTCTTTCTTGATTTTATATGTTGTCTACAACTTATCGAATTGCTTACAGAATATCTATTAATCCAGTGAAAACATCTGAGTTTGTTGTATTTAGAAATTTATAGGGAAATTGTGATAGTCGAACGGCACGAACGGTACAGAATTATATATGTTTTATTAACAGAGAGAACTTAAAGTCCTCTTTATGAAAATAACTATTTATCTCTTAATGCATAAAAAAATATCATAACTCTGGTCATATATACATATATGGAAGATGTATACTTGTCCCAGGTGCTCTAAATATAATCTTCTAATTAGTTTCGGCATTTGCAATAGAACCCGTCTATCTTTTTAGCTTTTATAATCTAATAGAATTGCTAGAATCCAAGCAGATTTTTTATTTCAGTGATTTAAATTGAAATTAGCCACCAACTGTTGAGAGAAGTTTCAAGCATACGTACACATGTAACATATGCATGCACTTATAAATAAATATTTTTGAAGACGTGTACATACACATGCATAATCTTGTACTTGTTCTTTGATTGAAATTTATGTATAAAAGTGCATACATATTTATATACAGGTATGAACGTTTATCTACTCACAGTAAAGCGATACAAAAAAGAAAACATTTTTATGGCATGAGCTGTTTTAGATTCACCGTTAACGACAAAATTAGCACAAATTTATATATATATGTATGTAAATGGATGATATAAGTTTATTTGTTCGTATTTATGAGAAACTAAGAACAAATTTAAAGCAATTAAGAGCGTTTCCATTCAAAGGATATTAAAAGATTTTGGTCAATACAATAAACGATAACAGTTTTTCACTTTAATTATTATATTATATAGATATGTACATATGTTTGACATTATTGTAGCAGTATATGTATTTATTTTGAATCAAAATGTAATATGTATTAAGTTCCCATATTTTAATTTAAGCCGATTTTCTGCTCTAAACTCTGCGTGGATCACCCTCCAAAAGTAGCTTCGACGCGTTCTTGGGTTTTTTCTTCACTGGTGTTAGCACTCTAGATAACCATCCTGCACTATGATCGTTAGATTCGTAGAATATTCCGTCACATTCTGTCTCTCGGCAGGGCAAGTCAACCTCTCCGAGTGTATTTCTGGCATGAAATAAAAGCTCCTCGTAGAAATTCATCGGTTGCTCCGAGATGACCTAGAAAAAACTGCAGATACCTTCATAATGCCAATAATACCAAAATAAATATATATATAACTATATATATGTATATATCTCATACAGGCATCCCCAAATCCTAACTTTTTGCCCTTTCGTTCTGTCATAAAATCTGTCGCGATTGAATGAAGCAAAAAATCCACTTCATGCCACAAGTAAAAATAAAATAAAATATGTAGATTGAAGAGGAAATACAGGGTTTTTAAAATGCAATAAAACAAATGCCCATTCGGCAAAGGCAAACCGCATCGGATGGTCTCGTGGCTTCAATTCTTGAACCAATTGAACTTTGTACGGTGTCATACCAAGGTCTTTTTTCAAAATTCGCCTAAGGCACGTCTCGGAAATGTCCAATTGTTGAGAGCGACGCTTCACTGATGTTCCGGGCGCCTCACGCACACTCTCGACCACAGCAGCGATATTACCGGCAGTACGCACTTTTTTGGTTTCTCACGCGTTGGTTTATCAATAATTGTGCCGGTTTCTCTCAATTTTTTCAAAAGAAAGCGCACATACCGAGCGGACGGTGCTTTGTTACGGCTCATTTCTGTGCGTAATTTTCGCATACATTTTCAAAGTAAAACTGCACTATTTTAACGCGTTCCTCAATCGTATACACAACCATTTTCGTTCAGTGGAAGGATAAAACTAACTTTCTGTCTAATCAGATGGAACATCAGTGTTACCACACTCAAAATAACCACTAGTTCAAAAAAAAGTGTTAGATGGCGGACCCTGTATATTTAATATATTAGGTCTAGTAAAAAAACGTTTTTGAAATAAATAGCTTCAGTTTTCCGGATCTAACGATCTCTATGTACGATTTGATTAGCATAGATCTTTTTAGAAAGATATTTTGTTCTAAAACCGATAAAGTGAGAAACATTGATCCTTAATTCGGTAGTATTTTAGCGCATGTCAAAGATGGAGTCCAGCAAAGAGAATATTCACTATATTCTAGTACTTTTCTTTGATAAAGGCGAAAACGCAAGCCAGGCAGCTGAAAATATGAATAGTGATTATGGTCCTGATGCTGTAACAGGCAATCACGCAAATTATTGGTTTCATTGGTCATTTCCTTTGGATAAAGACGTTCCACAGTGTGGAAGGCCCCGAAAAACCTTGAACCTTACTTATACGTACATATTTTGCAAAACCAGGTGTAATCTGCCTTTTTAACAACGTATTTCCAACTGCTTACATATTATAAACATATTATAAACACTAGACTGCAAAACTCGATATGTAAAAAATAATTCTCTCATATAAATAAATGTTTGGCTAGCTTCATCGAGCTTTTAAGAGAGCCGCAAGGTGTTCATGCCTCATCTAAGTCTTTATAAAATTATCATTTTAGTTTTCATTATTCGAAAATTACTTTTGGACGTCGTTATTTTCATTCAACTTCTCCAGCTAACCAACGATTGCCTTTTTAGAGTACACGTATGTAATTTTAAAGAATCTATAAGTGTCTTTTTTTATGATTTTCGGCAATTAAAGCTAATTTTATTAAATTAAAAGTAATAAATCAGAAGTCAAGATAGATGGAATCTGTTTCACGTATTAAATTTCAACACGAATCACTCATCATGCGTTCAACGCAAATCCTTGGTTTCGTCTATCGATGTTGGTATGGCCGCTCTTCTTGTTCCTCACTCGTATCGTATAAAAGTATCTTTAAAGACATTCTAGCTCCAATCTTTCGATAACTTTCCATCCATTTGAAACATTTTGTAAAGTTTCTGTTGTTTTTTGCTTTGTGTATAAGAGCAGCTTTCGCACCGTATGAGTATGATCTTACGCCATCCATTTTAAACCAGATGGTTTAAATAAACCTTCAATGTCGGTTTAGCGGTCGAAGTGCCTGATTCGTGCATCTGTATGCAGTAATTCAGTTATCTCCATCTGTTTCTTGTTTGACAAGTTCAAATCGCGGATTGTGGATCAGTGTGGGTACGTGGAACTGTCATCGATACTGATGGTAAATCAGGATATTAGTATTGCATTAATTTACTTGCCCTAATACCCGTAAGACTCATCAAATCGTCTATATGATTTTTAGGTTCTCTACATGGCGCTGGTAAGGAAAAGCAATAGTACACTCGGTTGCCCAATTACTACTTATACGGCTTTATTCTGCGGTACAAAACGATTTCGGGATCCGCGACTCATGAAAGTCTGCTAAAGCGGAAGAAAAACATCGTAGATTCGCATCTTAAAGGACATTTGTTATTAATTTGCCACTTTGTTTTGAACAAGAACACATTGAATTCTCACTGCTACACTCTCTTCTCATTATCTTTAGCTCGTAATCACAAATAACACGCTTTGATTCATTAAAAATAACTCTTCAAGCTTATCTAACAGTCGTTATGAAAGCAAAATGCTGCCATCACGAGAAACGGATGTACCCCATCAAATATTGTTAATAATCGTTCTAACTCGGTTTCAGAAGTTGCCTTGAATTTTGGTAGTGATTATTTAAGCAGATAACAGGTAGCGAAGGGGCAATAGTTAACACCTTAAATACGTTAAAGTATAAAGCTCAGGTTTTTGATATTTTAATTAAAATACCGTTTAAAAGATTTGCCTTTTCTAACCCCGGCTACCCTGCAAGAATGCTTCCGATCATTTGAGCCAACATATATCAGGAATGCATGTCGACATATCCAGTCAGCTCGTAGAACGATTTTCCCATCACTTTCTTAAGGCCGAAATGGCATTTGTACAAGCCGAACACACATGAGCGACAGCATTGATGTGGAAGGAAATCAGCTTTGACAAAAATTGTCCCACATATACATTTACATACTTACAAACAATATTAAGTTTATATTATATATGATACATACATACAAAGTGTTTTTCCAATATTTTACCTAGATCATGTACATGGTTTATATAGCATTCAAAACAAATAACAATATAGAATTAAATTCGTTTTCAAAAATCTGCAAAATATTATAAACAAAACCGAATATGCAGAAGCCTTAAATAGTGTCCTGCGTTGGTCCTCAGCTCCTCGAACGCCTCCGTCACAATCGCGGCTCCTTTGAAGTATAAATGCCACTAAGCAAAATAAAAAACTAATGTTCGAATCATAATGTTATGTACCGCGCAAAGTTTTGTTGAATATTTTTAGATCTGCTCCATACAGAATTTTCCGTTCAATATGCCCTTGAATAAAAACAATGTAAAGAGTAATTAAAAATGAAGTAGTTAATTAATCGAAAATAAATTATTACCACAGCTTGTATAGGATCCTTATTCATATGTTTCACTTTTATCTAAAATCGATCCCTGAAGTAAAGCATAGATCTAATTAATTGCGATCATGCGAGCTGGTCTCTGTGACTTTTAGACATTTGAAAGAAATTCGTAGTTTAGTAGTCACTTGCCGGAACCGACCATATTATAGTATTGTTCACAATCATTTGGTTGATCGAATGAATTTACACAGCTAAATTAATACATAAAACAAAAGTTTGCAATAACTACCTTATTAATAATCAACTCTATTACTATATATTACTCAATTGTATAAGGACTCGGCCTCACCGAAGACAGCATTTTTTCTGATTTCATAACTAAATTTTATTTTTATTTCGTTCTTATTTCATGCTATTTGATTTGATCTGGATCTCGTTGCAAACTCCATCTGGATGTCATTTGGACAGGAGCCTACGGCACTGTATATCGCGCTAAGGATAACCAATCAGGGAAAATTGTTGCTATCAAAAAAGTGCGGATTCCAATAACAGATAATGGCGTACCTATGTCAACATTACGAGAAATCGCTTTACTGAAGCATTTAAATGCCTCGGATCACCCAAATATTGTAAAGTAAGTATCTATTTTTTTTTTTTGTCTCGCAGGAAACGGTACCTAGCCGAATTTTTTTTTAGTTAGTTGCTCAGAAATAAAGCTTGTTTCACCTTGCAATACATTTACAACTTTGCAAATACAGTGAAGCAAGATGATTTTTTTTGAGTTGAATGTTAATGTCAGACGCAAGTGGGAATCAGCTTTGAGGGGTGTGTCATCTCACATTGAAGTAAATGAAAACTGCGTATTTTCCGCATTCAGGCAGTTTGTTCATATATTTAATACTTCAAGTTAAATGCACAAATATTCTTAAACAATACGTTATTTCTTATATACGAGGTGGATAAGATTTCGGCTGAAAGTTACTAGGAAATAACTCGCCAATTAACAAGGTGAGAGGTTCGGAGTTTAAAGTGTCTTGTATGGCGTATAATCGTGCTTATTATGATATTGCATTCCTAGACAGAGTGTTCTCCTTTCTCTATTCCTCGACTCAACACTTTTCTGGGAACAAAATTATCAATTTGAATTCAACACAAGAGTTTAAATATAGACATGCACTTTGTCATTAATAAATACATTTTTGGTTGAAATATTTGTTTGCTATTAAGTTTAATACAATTTTGTAAAATTTAAAACTTTATGGCTAACGTGCTTCGTTAAATGAAGGTGGACAATGGTCGTTAATATACAACATTGACTTCATATTTTCGAATTTTTTTAATCACATCGTGTCTTGGAGTAATTTGTTTTATCTAATATTGGCTTCCAATAAAGTAGCTCTATGGGTCTGCAAAATGTAACGAAAGAAAATCACCTTCACTTTGTAGAAAATTAACTGCGTTCGCTCCTTGGCTCCCGTAGGTCCCTCCATTTATTGAAAAAATCAAGTTGCACACCACAAATTAGAGGAGGAGCTGAGCGGGAAACCCCTTCGCCGGTTACAAAACCGCAACTAGATTTCTCTATATACATAATTATTAGCTGGTGCCCTACAGGTACAAAATTAAATAATTGCATGATATTGAACATGTGAAACGGTACATCATAAGTCTTAATTTAAAATATTTTAACATTACCAACTTTAGTTTTTACATCATTCCACAAGTTTTCGATTGGGTTCAGTACGGGGCTTTGAGCTGGCCAATCAAGCACTGAAATTTTTTCTTGGGGCAGCTGGTTTTTAACCACTTTTGCTGTATGTTTCGGATAGTTACTGTACATAAAGATCCAGTTAAATGGCATAATTTCGAAGGCATATGGCTACTAAGTATTTGAAGATATGCATATTTAACCATATTTCCTTCTATCTTACCAATGGTTCAACACCGTGCACGAAAATGATCTCCAAACTTTTAAATTTCCTCCACCGCGCTTCACGGTTTTTTTGTACATCTGTGATTGATTTCTTCTTTTTTCTCGCGATTTAAATATGTTTCCGAAATTTTAAATCTTTCGGTCTGTAAATACGGGCAAATGACAAACCTGCGTTAATGTTTTTTTCTACAAATTATTTTCATTCCGACATCTTCGCACTAGTCTACTTTACCCACATAAGCCCGATTCCGGCCATTATTGCGCGTGAAGATTTATGAGGATTTGATTTACACTTCCTAGCAATTATTTTATCCTCGCGGGGAGTTGTTTTGCGAGCCGGGGCTTTACGAATTTTGTTATGAGATAACAAATTGGGGTCACTATTAACATCCTTGATGGCATTGCACACCATTTTCTAAGTACAATTTAATATTTTGGTAATTTCCACTTCGTATGTACCTTTCTTGTAAAGATTCCAAATAAGCTTTCTCTTCTCAACAGAACAGCAGCTTCGTCTTAAGCAGTCAGAAATATATAAAAATTATGTGTATTTCTTCCAAATTCACAACAGGTCTCAATTATTTGTACTTTCGATCACAAGCGATAACAGAAGATATTCCTGCAAGAATGCTTCCGATCATTTGAGCCAGGACACTTTTACGGAGGAAACCAGGAATGCATGACGACATATCTCGTCAGCTCGTAGAACGATTTTCCTATCACTTCTTAAGGCCGAAATGACAAACGTGATGTTTGCTTTTGTATACGTGAACGTCATTCTCTCTTCGCTTCCTTGCGCATTTTCGTCATTCTTCTCGGACAAACCGAACACAGCTGCGCAACAGCAATGATACCATAAGAAAACAATATTGGCGTAAAAAAACGCAGCAATGCCGTGCAAGCTGAACACAGATTAGCGACACGATTGACGCCGAAGGAAATCAGCTTTGAAAAAAATTTCCCTATATATACATACATATGTACAAACATTATTAAGATTCAGTTTTTATTTCATGGTTTACATAGCATAAAGGAGATATTTCGCCTTGTGCTCGATCACTCCAGACCCATTCACTTCGCTTCTTTATCAAGCCTGGAGAAAGTGGAACTAACGGCGAGGTTGTTGAGGCCGATAATATCAATATCATCGGCGTACGCCAGTAGTTGTAATTGCTTATAGAAGATTGTACCTTCTCTATTCAGCTCTGCAGCTCTTATTATCCTCTCCAGCATCAAAGTGAAGAAATCACACGACAAAGAATCACCCAGTCTGAAACCTCGTTTGGTATCGAATGGCTCGGAGAGGTCCTTCCCGATCCTGACGGAGCTTTTAGTATTGATTAACGTCAGTTTACACAGCCATATAAATTCTGCGGGGATACCAAATTCAGTCACAGCGGCATAGAGGCAACTCCTATTCGTGCTGTTGAAGGCGGCTTTAAAATCAACGAAGAGGTGGTGTGTGTCGATCCTCTTTTCACGGGTGTTTTCCAAGATTTGGCGAATGGTAATATCTGGCCAATAGTTGGCTTATCAGGTCTGAAGCCACACCGAAAGGTCCAAAATGCGACTTTTGTTATAAATGTGTCTTTTACAAAAAAAAAGACAAAAAAACTAAATAATATTTAAAATAAAAAATTTAAAATGTCAGTCTATTAGTCGATTTAGAATTAAAGACCCTGATTTGGTATCAAATGCTTATGAAACATTCGGAAAATAGTATATACATGTATGTATGTATGTATGTTATACATTTTAGGTCTATTCAGAGCTTCAACTCTTCGCCAACCACCAGTCCCACTGGCTTTAAGCTAGAATAACGAGTCCTCACAGCTTCGCTCTTACCAATTTCATTCAAAATAAAAAAATATATACATATGTACATGACCCATATGTACACATGTACTTACATACATATGTATGTAGTTATATGCTCGTCACTTCCAAAAAGTTCCGTAAATATATGGCATACATACATACATATGTATGTGCATTTGTATGTAATATTAATATACATAGAACATACATACACATACATACATATTTATACTGAAAAAATTCTAATTGATAAGAGCACGGATGGATGGATTCTATACCGAATACCGAATACTCCACCGCTACAACAAATACAACATGGTTTCTACAATGTACATATGTTTGTATTTCGAAATGGACGTTCGTAACTTATCATATGGGGGCGCATGCATATTTACATATCCATATATGCAGTTTATTCCTACGCCTATCCTATTATATTAAATATGTAAGTATGTATGTATGTATGTATGTATGACCTACTCCGTGCGTCACCCACCTCTTCGTCTGTACAGATGTGAAACAATTTTATTCGCTGATTAGGGAGCAGTGGCATAGTTGTTGTAGTGGCTAGCTAAGCATTGTCATGTTTTTCGCGTCTTATAAATCAGCTGTTAGCTTCATTAGTCGCTTACACCTTATATACCATCATATGATTGTGTATATTTACATATACGTACACTTGATTGTTGCCTTTGCGCAATGTGCGAAGGGAGAATTCGCAAGCGCTAAAACCACCTCAGCCTAACAAATGAACGCAAATCTCTCTCGATCAGGGGAACTAGAAGTCTGAGTACAACGCTTTCTCAGAAAATGCTTGTATCTCTCATGGAGATTTATATTTTTCGAGTGCGCGCATGAGTTCCGCTAAAGAAACGACTCATTTTCGAGTAGAAATTGTATTATTTGAGTGGTCTTTCGAGTTTTTTGTGTATATCAAAAGGTTTGACGGATTATCCACGCTGCCACATAGTAGAATATTGCTTTTATTTATGAGAAAATTAAAGAATATAATAATAATTACATTCGAACATTCGAATTGTAGTACGCACTGCTGACTACTCTGTTGATGGCCGCTCATACATAATCTCAATAATTGATTGGGGTTTAAATTCGAACAATTAAATTATGTTTTTACATATGTATGTAAATTGATAAAGGAAATTGTAAATTTGTTTAAAAGTATGCATGCACACCGGCAGTTGGCAGCATTCGCCCTTGCACAATACATAGAAATCAGAATAACATTAATTTTTAACATTTAATAACTTACATATGTAAATTTTTTATTGCATGTAAAAGATATCTTTCATATGATGTTTAAGTTTTTTTGCACATTTATCGTGTAAATTAAAATTATATTTAACTCCTACATACGAGGCGTGTTCAAAAAATATCGCGAATTATGTGTTTTTTCAAAAATTATTTCTTTATTTATGAATATCTATTTTGACCCCTTCAAAGTAATCTCCATGAGATATTATACACTTGTGCCAACAGTTTTTCCAATCTTCATAGCACTTCAAAAAATCATTTGTTTTATCTTGTTCAGCTCCTCCTTCGATGCTGTCTTTCGTTAGTGTGTTGTTTTTGGCCAAAAAGTCGCGCACAAGCAATAATGTGTGAGCAGGGGCGTTATCGTGGTGCAAAAGCCAATTTTTGTTCTTCCACAAATCCGGGTGTTTCTGGCAAATTGCGCATAACTTGCAGGTAATATTCCTTATGGACCGTTCTACCCTGTGGCAAGAACTCATAATGCACCACGCCCCTGCAATTAATTTTATCGTCTGTTGTTGAAGTGCTCGGGCGTCCGTTTTTCACACAAAATTTGAAACAGGTTCTTTGATCCATTTTTTGAATAGATAGAAATCGAAGACCATCCAAAACACGTGCAAGCAAAGCAGCTGTCAATAATTAAGTGAACATTCAAAATGGCCGAGCTTGTCGACATAAGTGACAGACATGAGTACCAACATAACGCCACAAAAAAATCGAAATTCGATTATACGTAACCCGCGAAAATTCAAAATTCGCGATACTTTTTGAACACACCTCGTATATGTATGTACATAGTATTTATACATATAACTTCTACCTTTTCAGATTGTTTGAAGTGTGCCAAGTCCTTGAGAGAGAGGACCAATTGATGGTACTCTTAGTTTTTGAACACTTGGAACAAGATCTCTGTGACTTGATCGAACGGCTTCCTAAGTCTGGTATGCCGCCTGCAACAATTCAGGTGTTTACTCGTTTTTTTTTTATCAATATAACATACATATTGAATATAATAAATTCTTTCATAATATTTTTAATTTCCTAGCGTTTATCACGGGAGCTTTTAACAGGCGTTGATTTCCTGCACTCACATCGGATTATCCACCGTGACTTAAAGCCACAAAATTTATTAATCTCATCTCAAGGCCATCTAAAAATAGCTGATTTCGGCCTGGCAAAAACGTATGATTTCGAAATGAAGTTAACTTCTGTGGTAGTTACACTTTGGTATAGAGCTCCTGAAGTACTACTGGCGCAATCATACAATAGTTCAGTTGATATATGGAGCGTTGGTTGCATCATAGCGGAAATGTTTGCGAGTAAAGCTTTATTCCCAGGCTCATCGGAGGCGAATCAATTAGATAGAGTTTTCGAGTAAGTATGCCTGCCTATAATATTGTATCTGTGGCCATATATGTTTTATAACATCTTATATCTACTTAAGGTCGTATTCTGTTGCAATGTAGATTTTAATCCAATCTGTTTTCAAGTTCTATGTTAAAAAATGAACATTTTTTTAATTATAACATCTTATCGGTAATTAAGATTTTTTTTTTATAAATTCTTGTATCAACATAAATTCAAAATATCTATATATATATTTCATTTCAAACGACTTATGTTTACTTAAGCCCTTATATTTAAATTAAATCTTGAGATTATCCAACTTTATTGGATATAAGTATTTTTGATTACATTAAAATTATAAAGTAGATGTCATTTTACCTAGCAACTAAATTATAAAACAACAAAAAAGCGTGTTTCCAAAGAAAGATTATAAAAATTCGGTATTAACACTCCAACTACTCATCTTACATACCGCACAGCCATAACATCCGACAGGAAGAGCGATATGCATATACGAGTTATCGACGCTGCTAACAGCGACGAAATGTTGCCAACTGCCTGCCTTATTCGTTTAAAAAGTCAATACTGGCAATCATGTATAATAGCGTAAAGTGAGCTATGTTGGTTTTGCGAAAAAAAATCGAAACGCCGCTGGTTTCTGCGGGACAACCGTCAGTAACGGCATTGGGAAGTGGTGACCACTTTTCATTTACATGGCACTCCCATAAGATAGGTTGCTATAGATGGAAGGTATGTAAGATGGGTAGTTGTAACATAAAAAGCAAAGTTTTATATGCATCAAGAGAGCACAATTTTGACATTTTATTATTTATTTAAATTTAAAATAAATTACATTAGCTTAATTATTTTATTAGTACGTTATTCAAATAAAGTATTAATATTATTTTCATTTTAAATATTTTTTTCGTTGGCTAATTTTTTCTTTGAATTAAAAGTCAAAATTGTGCTGTCTCAACGAACTCGTTTTAAAGAAGAAGTTGTTTGATCAATCGTTGCTGGCCAGTACCGCGCCGAGCAGAACTAAGGAACAAAACTACTGAATTTTCACACTTCGAATCGGATTTGTTTCTTGTTCGAGTTTCTCAAATCCGATAGGGTTGCAGAACATCTTTTTGATTCCGAGTCCATAATCCATAGCGATGAGAAATCAATTCCTATCGGATTTCAGAATATCCGCCTATATTTCATTCTTTGATATTATATATTAATTTTATTTATTTATTGTATGTTTTTACTTTTAAATCCCATATATGGAGTCTTTAATTGTTTTATTTTACAGATTAACTGGACGTCCCACAGCACAGCAATGGCCAAACTCAATATCGCTCTCAAGGGAACACTTCCCTCCCCGCCTTCCAAAACAACCGAAAGAGCTGTGCCCAAATTTATGTGAATATTCCAACGATCTAATAGGTGTAAGTGTAGAATACCAGTAACTTATTTAAAACTTTATTCTAGAACTGATCTAGTTAATACAAAATTTGTGGCTATAAAATTGTTAAAGCTGAGAATGATCGAAGTAGCAGCAAAATCTTATACATATGTTTATCGAAATCTAATCAGCAATATCTACCTAGTGAAAACTGAGTCCCAATTGCAATAAATGAACAATATGAGTTAAAAAAATATTAATTTAAATTTAATGATTATGTATTCACTTTTTATAAAGTAAACTCGTTTGATAATAATTAATTTTCGGTTGGAAAATAATCATTTTTATTTCGCTCAAAATATCTATCAAACTCGGAACAATTTCTTTCAACAATTCATTTTCTAAGATCAAACATCAATCTGAAAGAAAGAATTATATCAGAGTCGTACTCGTATGTATGCCAGCGAAAAAGTTGAAAATAAATTTTAATATTTTTATTATTCTAGGATTTAAGGTTGTTTTACGATGATAATATCGTTCAAACGTACCATAGTGTGGGTATATTATACATATTTTAATTTGTGTAATCTAATTTTTCATTTTAGCAAATGCTGTCCTACGATTTCCAGTCTCGGCCATCCGCATTAACTTGCTTGAAACATGATTACTTCCAACAGGAGCCCATTTAACACTTGCATTTGTTTAATTTAAGATTTGTTTGTAATAACTATGTTATGTTTTCCATTAGCCATTATAGAATTTAAACGAATTAGTAATTTAAGAATCAATTATGTGACTACTTACCCATATTTACTTATATTTAGGCTAATATATGGAAATTGAAGCTTGTATACTACTGATATATAGATACTTCAGATGACCCTAATTTTTAAGTTGTTCGTTAAAAACTTTCTAAAAACTATATGTTTTATTTCATATCTAATAAGTTTTTTCCCTTAATGTGGGCCAGTTTAAAGGTCAAAATCACTTAAGTATTAGAAAAATTATTATGGTAAATTACCATTAATACCCTTTAACTACATACATGCGTACATAGATACCTACTTACTGTTAATGTATTTTTTATTTTGATAAGCTTACATCAAGCCCGCAATTGTATATATAAACCATAACTCCAAATTATACAATGCAATATGACCACCACTATCTTTATACATAAAAATATTTGGTAACAAAAAAATGGCAATTGAAAATGTTATACGTACTGTATAAAAATTAAATGTTAATATTTAAGAAATATCTACACATAATCTATACATAACTATGACACTTATACCACTATACAAATTCGTAACAAGAAAGTTAGTTTTCAATACACAATTTTTATTTACAAAAATTTAATTCGCAAATAATGACCTTGCTTAAACATATCAATAAAATTATAGCACCAAATTAAGTAAGTTTCACTGATATCTATACAAAAATTCTGATTATTATAATTGTTATAATATGGTCTTGTACTATCCCATTTAAATATACAAAATTGCAAATTTGTTTATAAAATCTTGGCTTTAGAATTAAGTAAATGAAATGGCTCAATAAATTATCATTTATTAAAAAATTATTAATTATGTTGATTAGGAAACTTCAAATGTACAATATAAATGTCCTCACAGTGTTCATATTTCGATGACATCCTTCGTAATAAATATATATACATATAACGTTTGTATAAATTTAAAATATAAACACGGCTTGTTTATGTTATACCATTATGTTTCCGACTAGAAAAAACTGTTATTTGCTTGATCTAAATGTACTTGTAATTTTTTTTCCAATGGCAGTTTCACTGTAGGCGCCAAATAGTTTCCAATAACCCGTACTACTGTCTGTGGTAATCAATTCAATTGCTTGCACATTAATAATGAATAAAAATGTAATACATTTTAAGAAATTAAAATGAAAGTAAACTTTAATTAAATAAAAAAATCAAAATAATTCAACAATGGCGGTTGTTGAAGTGATATTGATTTTTTTTTAATGATTTTCTAATTATTTTATGAGCTGAGTTGAACTGATGCGGTTGCTGTTGAGTGCTTCTCACATTCTAGATGTATTATGTGATACTGCCATAGCAGTCAACGTTGCAACGTAAGCCACAACTCTCAAGACAGCCGGTTATACGCATCGGAGTTGACCCGGACTTTAGAGCTGTCACCCTTTCGGCGACCTAACCCCGTTTAGGTCAACAGGTAAAATTAATTTAAGCTCGGGGTTGGGTTGCTCCAAATCCTTCTTATCAGGGCTGGCGTTGAAACCGACCCTGGTCCGACGGATTATTTCTGCTGCGTGTGCCAGAAAAGACCCCACCGCTCCTGCCCCACGGGTAGGTGCAACCAGTGCAATGGTTTGAGTCATCTTAACACCTACTCAGGCCTTAAGACCCTTAGGGAGTGAACCACAAGTTACGTGGGTCCATGTTGCCAGCGCTCAAGCACACCCCCAGCCTCCACTGCAGTGCCTTTAGCACGTTTACACACTTTGGATAACCCTCAGATCTTTATGGTCTTACGGAGCTCGTGGCAGCATGACACCGTGCAGTATCTTCTTATCGACGACGACATTCAACAACCCTAGAATGTCAGGGCGTAGCTAACCGGGCAGGCGGTGCCGAGCTCGAGATATTTAATATATACATTCCTCCTGTTAAAAATTGCTCAGTTGGATACAGCCCTGATATACGTGCGCTACTAAAAGGCGAAAACCGTTATGTTTATGACTTTAATGCGCATCCCAATCTTTGGCATTCTAGCCTGTCAAATGACCGTAGAGGAATGGAGCTGGCTGAACAGATAGACTATTCGACATTCTGCACAATGAACGGTGACACCCCCACTAGAGTTGTGTGTAATAGCCAAAGCTTGGCAGATATGACAATTGTGATTGCTGGTCTGATAATGAGTATAGCCTGGCGACCTGTACTGGCACTAGCATCGGCCCACTTATCCATACAAATCTCAATTAACAGGCCTCCCGACTTTGTTTCCGCGGATCACCGGACATTTGTCAACTTTAAAAAAGCTGAGTGGTCCGGCTTCACGGAATTCATCGATAACGCCTATCGCGCTCTCCCCACTCCATCAGACTTCACCACTGATGAACGTTTTTTCCGCAGGGTTGACGTGGCCGCTGATGCCCACTTCATCCCGGAGGCTGAATTGCGAAAATCCGCCCAAAATTTTCGACACAAGCGGCGGTAATAGCATTAAGGCCTGACACCCTTCGAAACTCCGATCCCAGGAATCCCCTAATCACGGACTTAAAGTTGGAGATTCGCACAGTAGTTAACAACCATAAGTGGGAGGAACACTTGAGGATCTACAACCTTTCCTCGAGGGTAACCAAGCTCTGGGCAACAGTCAAGTCGTTGCCAAGCCCGACGAGACGCGATAACCGGGTGAAAATTTCATTCGGAGCCGAAGATATGCGCGAGATATTTTAGCCGACTTTTACAGTGCATCCTTCGGTCTACAAAACGAAGCGACGTGTAACCCGCCATATGCACAAACTCCCAAACACTAGCGCGGCGCTTGATTTCTCCAGGGAAGAGGTTTAGGGGGTCACCGGGAAGGTGAAAGCCTCCAAATCCATCGGCCCGAAGGAATAAGCATGCTGATGCTAAAACATCTTGGATCAAGGTCCTCAACTTGTCTTGATACTTGACGTGTGGAAAACGGGGAGGTGGTCCCGCTACTCAAACCGGGGAAACCAGTTATCGGCCGATAACTCTCCTCTCTCCCAGATGCCTTGCTGCTCCTTACTTTCACTCACCACCTGCGTCCAGCAGCACATCAGCATGGCTTCCGAATAGTGCACAACACCCCAACTGCACTTGACGCCATAAACACTCAGGTAGTCAATGGCCTTGGAGGTGTGGTGTCCTCTCCCCATTACTGCTTAATTTTTACATTTCGAAACACCTATCAGAAGGAGTTCCCCTATTGGGAGTAACAATAGGTAGTCTACACTCCTTCACTCCGCATACGACCGGGATTGCCGCAAAATTCCAGAGCCGCAACAAAATATTCAAAGCGCCAGCCGGCAGCACCTGGGATAAAGACAAAGAAACTTTGCTCGCAACTTACAAAGCAATTGGCCGGCCGGTCGTAAATTATGCCGCACCGATCTGGATTCCAAGGACGAACGAGACGCACAGGCACATCGGAAAGGGAGTACTCGTCATGAAAAACACCATCCCATTGCAGAAAACAAACTCGAGCGGTACTCGACCCCCTCACATCTAACGTATGCACTCTGGCATATCAGCCAGAGTACGGATGGCACTGGACTGATGTCATGTTCCGACGGAATATGGCCTAACACACAGAAGATACTGTCCAGGGCACTAGGAGCTGCTGCGCAGCCCCGCACAAGAAGCGAAAGTGAATCTGAAGGAGGATGAGTGTAGGTTTGGGAGTGGAGGTGGGTACTCGGAGTGGAGTAGGGTGCAGAAGACACAGCCGTTAGGGCTTGAGACGTAATCGAGAGCTGGACCATTCCTTATGTGACTTAAGGCCTGAACATGACGTAAGATGACTCTGATGACAGGTTGCATCGAATCGAAATGGAAGAATGGTGGAAGCTTTTATGGTATATGCAGGGGAAGCAGTCCGTCGGACCATCGTTGGGTTCAACGCCAGCCCTGGTGAACAGGATTTAGAGTAACCCAGCTACGAGTGTCGAGAGTGGAGAGAAAACAGACTGCCTACCTCGCAACCTTGCGGTCGGTCACAACTAGATGCGTGAGTATGAAGAGCTTGAGAAGCTGGCCGACAAGGATAATGCTCGAAAATTCTACTATACGACGACTTACAGAATGTTGCAAGACAGGAGCAGACTCTTGTAGGACACAAAGAGGTGATCTAGCCACCGATGAAAATGGAGAATCCGTAGATCGTAAGCCCGAAACCCCAATCGATGACGATGGAAAAGACGTTCCGTTACCTAACCATGAAGAAGTTCGAATGGCAATCACCCGCTTAAAAAACAACAAAGCGGCGGGAGCTGACGACCTACCTGCAGAACTATTCAAACATGGCGGTGAAGAGCTGACAAGGTACATGCATCAGCTACTTTGCAAAATATAGTCGGACGAAAGCATGTCCGACGATTGGAATTTAAGTGTGCTCTGCCCAATCCATAAAAAAGGGGAAAGTCTGTGCCAATTACCTTGGAATAAGCCTTCGTAGTACCGTCAACAAACTGATCATTCAACCATTGACCAGACAATCACCATGCGCCAAATCTTGGAAAACATCCGTGAAAAGAGGATCGACACACACCACCTCTTCGTCGATTTTAAAGCCGCTTTCAACAGCTCGAATAGGAGCTGCCTCTATGCCGCTATGTCTGAATTTGGAATCCACACAAAACTTATACGGCTGTGTAAGCTGGCGCTAGATAACACCAGAAGCGCAGTCAGAATTAGGAAGGACCTCTCCGAGACGTTCGATACCAAACAAGGTTTCAAACAATTTGATGCTGGAGAGAATAATAAGAGCTGCAGAGCTGAATAGAGAAGGTACAATCTTCTATAAGAGTGTACAACTACTGGCGTACGCGATAATATTGATATTATCGGCCTCAACAACTGCGCCGTTAGACCTGCTAAAATTTATGTTCCTTTGCGCATTGGCAACGGCGAATATCGCAGACAATGGAACGATGAACTGTACGAGTTATACGGCGACATTAATATAGTTCAGCAAATCAAGAATCAGCGGCTACGCTGGCTAGGCCATGTGGTCCGGATGGATGCGAATACTCTAGGTTTGAAAATTTTCGATGCAGTACCCGTCGGTGAAAGTAGAGGATAAGGCCTCCACTCCGTTGGAATGACCAGGTAGACAAGGACCTGGCTGTACTTGGTATTTCGAACTGTCGTCGAACAGCACAAAAAAGGAAGGAATGTCGCAATGTTGTTAAATCGGTCAAAATCGCGCAAGCGGTGTCTGCGCCAGTAAAGTAAGTAAGTAAGCTACGAGATGTTGCTCCGTTGATGTACTTTGAATAATCTTACATCTTGACTATTGTGGCAGCCTTTGGCCAGATAAAATCTGGGTCAACTCCGACGCGTTGAAATGGCTGTCATGAGTGTTGACAGACTCTTCCTCTTTTTGTCTCTAAACAAAAATAATTCAAAAAATATTCTTTTGTTTTATTAAAGGTGAACCAGTCTAGAAGGATTAAATTCCTTGATTTTTTAACTTCCAAAGTTGGTTGGTTCTTTCTCTAAACCTTCTGGTAATAACTGTTTTGGTGAAAACCATCTTTAGCTTGCTGTTTTACCATTAACAAAGCTCCTCCAAACAGTTTCTTGGGATGTCCCTCTGTCTGAGTACCTCTGTATTTTAACGCCACTTTTTACGTGATGTAATTACATTGAAAAAATCTGGGTAGAGAAAATGTTACCATCCGCTAGAAACTTCGCGGCACAATACCAGGACGTGTCCTATAGCTTGATGCCTCCTAGGCTACGCCACGTTCAGTTTAATAATATTGCAGCTCGTTTGCCTTACAAATCCAGGGGAATAAAAATGGGAATGTTTCCAAGGGCTTTTGATGAAATTTGAGTACTGGCCACAGTGAACATAAAGCGGCTTTGAATCATCTAGCCACTTTGCAAGCGTAGAGTAGAGTTATAGCTTTCCTCCAACTTTCCGACGTATTTCGGCTCCAGTAGAGTTTGGTATCTTAGATTATGCCGAGATATTTGGACTCGGTAAAGAGGATGGTTTTCAAGCATTTTACTTTGGGTGGTTTAAAAGGATGTGTTTATATCGATCTATGTGAAAAGAAACATTTCGGGATTTTCTGGATTAACATCCAGTCCACAAAGCTTGAATTATCCTGTTCTACAGAAGGGATTCCACGAGGCTTCCAACCGGCTGTGCAAGAACCAATTCTTAAAGAGAAGAATATTGTCAAAAATTCTTCAAAATCTAAGAAAATGCCAAGCGAGTACACTATTTCATCTAGTCCTTTCAACGGAATTTCCATTAGAATAGGCGTGTTATCAAGAGGCTATTTTGAGAAGCCCTTGTCGAATATAGATGTCGAAAAGTATTTAAACAAATTTTAGAAGAAACGAAGTAAGGCTAAATGGCTGAAAGTCTCTTAATATTGCAAGTTTGGTCCTGCTTCCTTTTTGAATGAGTATTATCTTACCCATGGCCCACGCATGGGGAATATGTCTTTCGCATAGGCAGACTTTGTAGACTCCGCATTGCAGTATGGACGGGATGTCCTCCGCCGCCTGTAATTTATTAGGGAAGATCCCGTTCAAACCTGGAATTTTCTAATTTAGAATGATTTTAACGGCCACCCTTCTTCAATCAACTAATAAATCTTACGCAAAACGTTTCTCTCGAAAACTTCAAACGCTGACTCAAAAGATGTTGTCATCGTCCATTCCTACGCATCATATAACAGGATGGGAACAATGAAGGACTTTTACTGTTGGGTTTCGTTTATCGGGAGAAGACTTTACTTTTCAATTGCCTACTTAGTCCAAAGTTGAATAAAGTTATTCTGGAGAGGGTTTTATGGCTGACATTGTTGTTGGAAGGAATCGGGCGTTTAAATCATATTAGCTTATGGGTTGCTCTGGTCGCTTTCAAAAACTCATCCGGCACTTTAGAGTTGGTTTCTGCGTAACGGGTCCGAAACCAAAGAACATATATTATGTTAACATTGTATCAAAGAACGTATATTACAACAAAGTTCCTTCTTCGCTGCGTTGACAAAAATCACAAAAAATCGGAAGCAAATTTGGTCGCGAAAAGTGAAGCAACAACAACGTACATTAGTCTGCCCTTCTTCCTTCAACGCGTAACATTCATGAGCCGTCCACAAGCATTGCTTCAAGTTCTTGCCACTGACAAAATTCAATCATCGCCTGCAGAAATGAAACAAATCGACATCGTGCTACTAGATTTTCTGTTCGCCTGTTAGCTCATATTGCCCAGCAAGCAATTTCCTTGCCTTCCCGCATGCACCTTGTCGACAAGTTGAATTGTGGCGAGGATTTCTATAATATTCTAAAACTTCCAGAAGATTCTAGAATATTCTAGAATATTTGATTTCAATGAAGAAAAGTAGAAAAGTAGTAAAAGCAACAAAAACAAGTAATGCATGCAAACCCCCTTTCCTTCAACTCTTCATC